AAAAAAAAAAAAGTCCCTAGCAACGCGGAACAGCGGAATGGGAATTAGGAGAGTCACGTCTTCCAGTGAAGGTACTCAACACGGGCTCATACTGACTGAAAAGGCAGAGTCTCATGCCGTATCCCAGACACTGAGACATTAAGATTCTCTGAGGAGTCTTTTGACATGAACGGTTGAGTACTAGTGTGTAGGAGGATCTCGTGTTGATAGAGAGGACGTGAATTAAGTGTTAGGAGTCCCTTCTAAGTATTAACTTATGGAGAGGAAAACTCACTAAGTCAAAGCCCTCGGCACACTTTTAATTCTGCCGACTAGAACATGAAGATGCTTCTAGGATTCAGTCTCTTTCCACGCTTAGTGTGCAGCCAAAGCTCACTCCACATGAGCACAAGGACCCAGGAAAAACAAACAACCTCCTCTGGTCTCTAGTGATAGCTGGTTGTCTCCAGAAGAGATCGGTATTAATTTTATCTAGTGTGAGATAAATACAACCATTTCCATTTCAATGTATGAACCTTAAGTTCTATTCTTCATCCTCCTAGTAATGTACTTAAGGTCACGGATGTAGGTCAGTGGTAAAAGCACTTGTCTAGCATCCATGAAGCCCTGGGTTTGACCACAGTGCCTCAAAAGAGAGAGAAATTGTAGGGTGGGCACAGTGGTGGTGCACACCTGTAATCCTTGCACTTGGGGAGTAGGGTGAGGCAGGAGAATCACAAGCTGAGGACAACCCAGTCCACACAGTGAACCTGAAACAGCCAGCAGTACCACAGGAAAGGCATAGTACACTCTGGAATAGAAACATCTGGGAACCAGTAAGATGTAGAACCATCTAAATAAGCATTAAACATAACTGGTTACATTTTATTAACTTAGGAGTTTTGTTTAAAACTGAGTTAAAAATGCAGCCCAATGGTAGAGCGCTGGCCTAGCATGTGCAGGGCACTGGGATGGACCCCTAGCATTGAAAAATGTAATCTGAGTTAAAGTACCTTATACGGGTACAGTTACAACATAAAAACGCCAAATAATGGGCAAAAATAAAAGCCACAGAGAAAAGGAAAAGAATGTTAAAGACCAACACATGCAACACATTTCTCTGTTTTTACAAACCAGATCTGGGTCCACTTTCTAGCAGCCAACTCAAATGGAGAAACAATTTAAACACACCAGCGTTGTGTTTTCCAGGGTGAGCACTTAGAGCCATGATTAATGCTTCTCATCACCGTGTAGTAAACAGTTGCTAAATATGCTTAAAATGTCAAACAGAAAATGGATTGCTTCACACTGGCTTTATTCTTAGACATGTTATATTTTTTAGAATATGGTAACGAATGACATTTACTCACATAATAATTCTTCTAGCCAGACAAAGCAGCCGTGAACCCATGATGAGAACTTACAGTTTGGAGAGTAATATTAAGACGATTAAGACTCTGGGGCTGGGGAGCTGGCTTGGCAGTGACGAGCACTGGATGCCCTTCCAGACTACCCAGGTTCCATCCTCAGCACACAAAGGCGCTCACAACTGTCTGTAACTCAAGTTCCAGGGAATCCGATGCCCTCCTCTGGCCTCTGAGGGCACCAGGCATGTATGTACAAAGTGCACAGACACACACGCAGGCAAAAGACCCATACACATAAAATAACAAAATAAAATTTTTTTGAAAGAGTAACATTGTTCTACAGTAGGTGGCAGCGAATTCAAGAAACTCCTAACTAGTCGAAGTGCTGTAAGAATACGTGCCTGTTGAGTGCTCAACCCTATACAGGACTTGTGTACCGCCCTCTCTAAAGCTCAGAGAACATCCTGCAAGAGGGAGCAGAACGTGTGTGTGTGGGGGGGGGGGGGGCTGAAAAGTACTGCTTCCTAGACAACACAGCTGTAGCGCTCAAGACATCCCATCAGCTGCGATTACGGGCCCAAATCTGTACCAGTCAGCATTCCCTCACGGATGGGGAGGAGACTGGGAGGTATTCCTGCTCCCCGAGCAGCCACGGGAGTTTAACTGCTACAGTGGGAAGGAGAGCCATTTTCTCAATGGTGTAGCCGCTGGCAAGGTGCCCATGCCAGCTCACGCTCATGCAAGCAAGCCTAAACTGAATGGGTTCCAAAAAAAAGGACATGAAACTCAAAGGAGAGTGTGCAATCAATGGGAGTAGTCGCAGGAGGGAGATAGAAGTGTTATCAAGTGTGTTGGGGGGGGGGGGATGAAACTTACCAAATAGATTTCCTAAGCTTGCATCCATTTTAATTTCAAATACTTGAGAAATAACATAAAATGTCAATATAAATACTGCGGCAGCCACCACCAACTTTGCAGCTCCTAGAAAAAAGGCAGAAGCAACTCAGCATGGTTTTATAAGCCAACAGAATCTGTGCTACGCAAACGGCGTTTCTGCAGAAGCATCATGACTAATGCAGTTCTATTTTGTAATCTACTAGATCTTAATGTTACTGGAGTTACAAGGACTGCATGCTCCCCACAATCACAGAACTCGCAGGCACACTACTTGAGACACCTGTCTAGGGTAACTCGGGGAGGTGGTTTACCTACCATCAGCTGCTGGCTGACTACAGGTGTCCTGATGAGTGCACCACCACCGCCATGCCTACAGGACTACATGCTTCCCAATCCTAAAGAGCAATGCCCTCCAGCGATGACACGAAACTAGATCTTCTGGAGATGCCAAGGCCAGGACATCCAGGAAATAAGGAGGTGAAGTGAAATGCAGCAAGCGTACTATTCGACCACCAACTCACCGCCTGGAGCTGCCTAACCCCACGGGGAACTGCAAACATGACCTTCTGCCTTACAAGAGGAAGAAGGTAAAGACATGGCTTCACATCTCGAGGACAGGCTTGGACATCAATCACAGTGACGGGCTATGTGATGAGCTCCATGAGGGCACACTCCTCAGCTTTAGACTTTGTGTCTTTACGGTGTCAGAGCAGCTTACAATAGCCATCACTGCCACATCTGCTTAGTATGAATCATCCCTTAATCTTTCTCCTAGGCACCCCAATCTCGGCACCAAATCACAAAGGGCAAGCGTAAGACAGGGGATGGAACAATGGCAGAGCAAGAGCTTCCCCCTCTGGATTGCAGAGACATGACCTGCTTATTCGGAAGCAGTGCTGGCTTACTTGTGTCTACACGACCCCCACTGCCCGCTCCTACTAATAGTTCGGGTTTAGTTCAGGTTTAATCTCGACTGACAGGAAAGAGGTTGACAGAATCAGCAGCCATCTAACCTTAAAGAGGAAAAAAAAAATCCCAAAGATGAAGTAATGCTCTACGATGACAGATAAATCAGTGGCTGCACATGAACCAGAACTCAAGCCTACCCCCAAAACACCTAGTAGCCTGTACAGTACATCATTCTAACACTAAATTACATATTCTTGGAGAGGGGGACCTCAATATAGTAGGTAAGGAAGAATTTAAAAAAAAAAAAAAAAGATCATCTAATCTCATAGATCCAAAAGAATAGTCTGTATCATCAGAGGAGAGGAGGAGGACCAGGAAGAAACTGAAGATGTTTGGAAAGGCCGATGATGCTAAAGGGCGCCCACATCCAGGGCTGCCTCAGTACTATTTAGAGATGTTCTAACTCATAGCTATACGTGAGGACATGCAAGAAAAATCTCTGCACCTTCCTTCCGATTTGGCTGGGAATCTAAAACTTCTTTAAAAATCAAAGCCTTAAAGATTCTATTAATATAAGAAAACAGTGGTAATGAGTATGTCCAACCAGCCCTTCTCACCCTATCTCCTCACTTCTTCCTTCCAAAGGTTGCTTCTGAGTCTTTAGCGCAACTACTACTAGCTACCTTCATTGTTAGCATGTAAGAGCAAAATTTCATTTGCTTTGGGCCTCCTTCTCCCAGGATCTAGCCCAGTGTCTCACACAAAGCATGCTCTCACCACATACATGCCCGATAGACGAATGACAGCAGGTGGCAGACAGTTTTCATTACGTGAGGCTGAGGCCAGTGGCATGAAGGTGACAGATCGCGCGCTACTCTTCTACTTTATTTTCTAGCAGTCATGGGCATGTACAACAGGGGAGAAGCCCTCACTGTCTTCTAAAACAGATAGATGAGGCTTGCGTTGTTCAAGGCTGAACTTGCACAGGGGCACATCAGTGGCAGCACAGGGTCTTTTCTTTCTTAAGATGTACGTAATTTGTGTATCAGTGGTTTTTGCCTGCGTGTACGCCAGTGAACGTGTACGCCCAGTGTCCACGGAAGTTAGAAGACAGTGTCAGATACCCTGAACTAGTTACAGATGGCTGAGTCACTATGTGGGTGCTGGGAACTGAGCCTGGATCCTGTGCAGCAAGAGCATCATGGGAGGGCTCCTTCCCTCTGGCCCATCTCTCCAGCCCCAGCACTGACACTGGTCTGGAACAAGGACGCAAACGGATGCTCCAAGAGACAGAAAAGCCAGCGCAGAGACACTCGCAGTCTCTACAGTGGGAGCGTCCAGGAGCTCGCGACAGAACATGGTCTCAAGGGTTGGACCCGAAGCCCAGCGCCAGCCTGGAGGGCCTTACCACAGCACACCATACCTCCCATTCCTGACGGGGTGTGCTATTCCCTCTTCCTTCTAGCCACTGACCGAAGATCATTACATTTCAGTCTAGGTGAGCATTTCAAAGCAACCAGATACTATTTTAATTTAGAAGACATTAATGAGTTCAAGGCAGTGAACTAATAACTCATCTTCCTTATTTGTCTGTTAAAGACAGCCCCCCTCCCCAAGTCCTATGCCAAGAAAAGGACGAACGTAAAAACCAGGTGATGGAGTTGATTTTACTGAAGATGAACTTAGAATTATGTGCAAAACAAGAACTGCTCTGGTCACCACGCTTCAACAGCATACTTAGAAATCCTCAGGAGACCACAATTATCAACCGTCCTGCTGAACCCAAGAACATGCAGGCAGAAAAGGCAGCAGAGCAAACAAGAGGCCCACGTGGTCTAGAACAAGCAAGCTCTTGGTTCCCGGAGTCCTCTTCCTCCACAAGTGTCTAACCACTTAGAAATGATGCTGTGACTTCCCAGCCAGGAGAGGCCAACTTTTCAGATTTCTACAAAAGCATCTGTAGCAGCCGTCCGTTAACTTGGTTTTAGTAACCACAGTGTCTCATCAACTCTGCGTGACTCTATACAACTATAAGCAAACTAAGCAGAGGGTCTTTTGTCCACCTGCCTCGGCTTCTGGCATCTCTGAGAGACGACCCTACGAAAACACTTGGTTTGCTTGTAAGACAATGACAATGAAGAATTAGACTAATTATCTTGATTTCAGGGAACAACCTGTTTTCTCCTCACACAGATTTAGCAGAATTCCTCAGGCAATGTGCCTTTGGGGGTGGGGAGGCTGTGGCTGGAGGCTGCATAGCAGAAACACATTTATTTTCACCTCCAGTAGGGAAAGGCCAACTGGGTGTTTATGGATCTACCCTTTAAAGATGCTTATCAATACCTTTATTAATACCAGGGATATCTATCAAGGACTTTCAATGTATATGACACACTACTTCAGACTGCTGTTAATGTTCTAGGTTTATACCTAGACTATTAATTCAAAGCAAAACCATAAGTAAATTCTTCATGTATGTTATACTGAACTGCACATAGGAGAGAGTTCTATTTTAGAATTCCTTTTTCTAGACGGCTAGAACTTAGCAAGAAAAAGTCAGTCTCTTTGCATTTTCAAAATCATTCTTTGAGTATTTTATATGTACTATTTGGGCAAATAAGCTTACCACATAAGAAATAAACATTAATATTTAGAATAATTTCAGTAAAAGGTTCACCTACAAAAACGCATGTAATATGTACTAATGTCCAAGTTGAGATATGTTAACGACATAAAACAGAAAGGCTAAGCATGATCTCATTGACTTCAGCCTAGTACTCAACTTTCAGAAACATTAGAGGTATGTGACCCCTGTATATAACCTCTGTGGCAGGAAGACAGCTTGAACTAGCATAGACGAGGAAGCAGGACCCACCACAAAAGGGGGTTAGGGGAAGGAGGAGGAGGAAGAATCAATGAAATTATGAACCCCCTCCATTAGTCATTACTGAGCAAACAGGTTATAAAATAAATTATAAAATAAAAATCACTTTCACCGGATTAAATAAATATCTTACCTGCTACCCTCATTTTCGCTTTTTCAATCTATGGCACCTCTCAGAAATAAGGTCCTAAAATCAAAAGAAAAGGCAAACACCATGAATTATACGATGAATCTTACTCCTCAGATTGAGCTTATTTTAGAAGGTATACCATAAAACCAATTAGGTATATACCATGACATTTCTAAGTATTCTATGAATTGCAATGTTTAGCCAAAAAACTCTTTATCACTGGCCATTCCTTCCACTAAGCCATTAAAAAAAAGTCAACAGAAGCTGCTTGCGTGTGTCTCTCACGGGCTGTGTCCACTGCTCCCATTATACCCCGCGCCTGAAGAGGACAGCTATTACCCTCAGTGATGACACACCCATTAGGAGCTCACACATTCAGATTCAAACACTGGTTAGCACGTCACGTCAGCAGTCAGTAAGGAACAGAAAACCTTGTGGAGAAACGGGGTTTAGCTAGGCCGGTTCATGCCAGCACAGGAAGCTACTTCATTTTCCATGACATAACTCAGATATCACTGCTGTGAGCACTCCCGACTAATGCTGGGTTTAATACGAGATCCGTTTCACGCTTTTCAATTCCCATAGGCAAAATAACGTGTCTAGAGGTTTAGAATTATAATTTTAAGGACTCCAGCAATTATCATTACTGACAGAATGGTGTGTGTGTGTATATATATATATATATATATATATATATATATATATATATATATCAAACAAACTACTCTTTGACATTATTTTACTAACTGGCAATAAATGCTAGGAAAAAAAAAATCCATGTATGTGTGTGGTTCTCCTGCCTACAAAACAACTCCAAAAGGAACTGTAAAACAACTCAAAATGGAACTGTAAGTAAGACTTTTTTTATACCAAAGCCACACCCACATTCAGCTAGACTGCTGCTTCAGTCAACGTTTTGTAAAGGAAGGGAATTCAAAGGTAAGTTTCAAATAATGGATCCTAAATATATCATTTGATCAGAAATATATCATTTCTCTGGTCTCCTGCACATGCACCGTGGCACATAGGTCCCCAGACACAAGCACACATATACTCAAGCATGCACACACAGCACATACATGAGCATGCATACCCACACACAAGCAAGTACACACATACTAATACTTCATAGAGAGCCCCCAAACAAACAAATAAACAAACAAAAAAGACCTTTCCTCAAAGTTCACTGCAAAAAAAAAAAAAAAAAATATCCAGTTTTCTTGTTCACTGGAAAAAGCAACAGGATGGGGACCCAGCATGACTCCCCATCCCCCATGTCTTCCACTGTGGCTCCCTTTCTTCTGCAAAATCTAACCTGGTTAAAAATCAATCAAACAAACCCTTCAATCAACACTTAACTGAGTTGTCCACTCTTGGGATTTTTTTTTCCCTTTGTTATCTATGTGAACACCTTCTATATAATAGTCAAAGTCAATGCTATCTATCTATTTAAACTCCTTCGCCACCAGCCAGAATTCCAGAAGGAAAGAAGAGATACGGACTTTATATAAAAGAGGGAGGGGAGGGGGTAGGCCCTTGGCTCCTCCAAAGAGAACTCCGACAGGTCATAAATCCTCTTTTGGCTTCCAGTGAAAATGAACTCTGCATTCACAACACATACATGGCCTTTCCTTCCCTTTCATATGCCAAAATAATTTCACTCCTAGCTGAGTGTGGCCCAGGAAAATTTCTTTGAAAATGTGATAAGCAGTTGGGTACCAGATGCCTGCTGTTCTATTTCAGTTTCTATTGCAGGGGGGGACCACACCTGTATAATTACAGTCACCAGCCGCCTGCTTGCTCTTCCCAACAATTCCGCTTCTGAACTCATCACAGGCCGCTCTGTAAGCAACTACATTTGTGAATACAATTGTTTTCCATTAAAATATTTTAGGGAATTAACATTTAGGAAAATTTCTATATTAAAATCTCACCAAAGTGCCTCAGTCATTAACACAATTTTAATTAATTTCCTTAATTAACTTTCTTGCATCGTTAATGATGCAAAAGTGTAAATCCGAGGAACAGGAGTATTGAAATAGATTGCAGGGCAGAGTATGGTGAGCGTTTATGATGTGCTAATTCCAAACCAAGCCTGGCTGTTTAGAGAGCAGCGTTTGAAGACTTGTTACAATCTGAGCAGTGGAGGAAACAGCTCCTGAAGACTTCAGGGAACCAGAGAGACAGGTCCAGAGACAATGAACACAACACTGAAAGAATAAAAAGGCCTCAGCTGAAAACTCAGAATGCTAATCTCCGTACTCAAGATACAGAAATGAGAACCAGTTGCCAAAACCGGAATATTAGTAATTAAGAATCTTCTTAGGACAGATAAACATGTAAATATTGAAAATAGGATACTTAAGAAATTCATGACTCCAAAAGTGTAAGGATAGACCAAAACAAGTTTCAGCATGTTAGGTAGATAAGGGTGCAATGTCAGCTTCCAGTCAAAGCAGGGGGACCCTCTAGGCAAAGGAACACTGACCTAAAGGTCACTCAGTCTGTGACCCAGAGTAAAGGAGAGGCCTGGAGCAGGGCCTCAGAGGGACCACCCCTCTTACCTGGATGCTTTAAACATTTTTTTAACCCAACTACACAGTTTTGTCCAATTTAATGAAATTTTGTTATTCAAAATTGGGCTGCTCTGTGACTATGGAGGGCCCGTCAGGAAGTCACTAAAATAAGGACCAATGGGAACAAAAGCACAGGTCAAATGGCATTCTGGAGAAATGAAGTCTAAATTAAACACTGTCCTGCATGAAAGAAACAGGCCATGAAAACAACTACCCGGAAGCGCTGCCTTTCCCGGTCACCTCCCAGCAGCTCTCTGGCTGTCCTGACTACTGTGATGGCCTCACAGGGGAGGCAGAGGAGTTCGCCCGTAGCCCTGAGAAGAGTAGGGGGAACGCTCACAAACAAACCCCGTTCCATTTCTCCCCCTGAACGCTGATGCATTTAAGGACAAGAGCTTGTGGACAAATACCATGTCAATCAATTTGGCTTTTGCAAATTGCTCTGGGAATTGCGAATCTCTGCTGCAAACCAGCCACTCCAGAGATCTGACAGTTTGTCAGATTAACTTAAGACTGAGTGTTGGAAACACCACTACCACCTCAAGACAAAAATGATCCAAGAAAATGTGCATGCAAATAAATACAGTAGCAAAATATTAAAAATAAAATTAATCCGGCCCAAAGAAAATATTGTGAATTGTATTTCACAAAATAGAGAACCACCATTCACTTTAATCCAACGTTCAGTCAGTGCTGGCCAGATAACCATTTTAACCAAACCAACTAAATTCAGATGGTCTCAATGTTGAAGTGGGCTGGGACTTTTCTCTTGTTACATATGTTCTTATAGTATATGTGTGTGGATGTTCTGCAGATGTCTGAGTACCACGCACACACGGTGCCCACAGACGACAGAGTTCAGAAGAGGGAGTCAGGTCCCCTGGAACAAGGGTCACAGAAGACTGTGAGGCGCCTGTGGTTGCTGGGGTGTGAACCCAGTTCCTCTGTTAAGAACAAGTACTCTTAACCCTGAAGCTATCTTTGCAGCCCCCAGGGAGCTGGAGCTTTTCGAGAGACTTACATAAAAACATGTTGAGCTGCGAAACAATAGATGTAGACTACACTTAAGCCCTGTTTGTGACGGTGAACTTCACGTATTAACCTGACAGGGCTGCAGACTGCCTATGAGGAAAAACCATTCAGGGTGTGCATGGAAGGACCTTCCTGGACAAGCAGCATCTGAATCTAGAAGGGATGCCTAGTGCCTTCCTCAATGGGGCTCCAATCCAGCCCTAACAACACAGGTGCTGATATGTATCTCCTCATACATAAGAGCATCCATCCATGGTTCCTGGCCCCAAACTCCATCACACAAAGCAGGATGCAAAAATCATCTAGTTATCCATTAGTCTAGACTACAGGCCGTAAGAATCATGTAGTTATCTGTTAGTCTAGACTACAATTTCTCTTCTCCCTTGCAAGAGACAGAAACCTAATCTACCTTTCTGTGTGGATGCTAACCACAAATAACCTTTCTGCGCAGTTTTGTCTGACAGATCACAAGATCCTCCACGGTCCTGAGGACGGCTGCAGAGGCCAAGATAAATAGGTGGGGTTCCCCCTTCAGTCTACTGGCATTAGTTCATTTCCTTTTTTGTCCAACCACATTTCAACACAGCTGTCCATGCTTCAGTCATGCCTATGCAATGAAGTCTCACAAAAGCCCACAGGACAGGGCTCAGAAGGCGTTCCCGGGGCAGAATGCTGGGGGGCTCCTGGGGAGTGGCACCCCAAAAGAGGGTGGGGACTCTGCCCCCGCTTCCCACACCACCTCCGCATCTGTCCACCAGTGATGTCTACACTAGCCTGCAGTGCAGTGAACGTTGAATATAAACCACTCAAATTACTTGAGCCTCAGGAAGGGAGGGATTGTGCAGGCCCCAGTTTATAACTGGTCCAGCAGACCCGTATGTAAAAAAGCAGCCTGGACTTGTAATTGGCATCTAAAGTTGGAGAGGTAGTCTAGAGACTGAACCCCTTAACCCATGAGTCCTCAGTGTCTCCCAGTAGATCAGAGGACACCCACCTGTAATCTGATGCAAAATGTATTTGTTTTCTGGTTGGGAGAGCTCCCATCACCTTCTGAGGACACATCTTTTGCATTTATCCTGATATCTCAGCAGAGGAAGAAACACTGCTTTTCTAATAGGGAGACTCTGCTCTCCTCCGCCTGTCTTCAGGCTGGGAGAATGGTGCACAGCCACGCTGCGCCGTCAGCTCTGCTGGACCACTAACAATGTGCCAATGAAAAACCTGGAGCCCTCAGCCTCTGCAACTGTATGAGTCCATTTCTTCCAACAAACTGCAACATACGTATAATAAATCATGTAGCTACAGAAATGTATATAGTTTATTACACAGAACCTCTCTCTCTACACACACAGGCGCGCGCGCGCGCGCGCGCACACACACACACACACACACATACACAAGCACACAAATGTCCATATCTATAACCTACACATGATTTGTTTTTTTAGGCAAACTTGGACTGATAAAAACATTGTCAAGATTAGGAGGT